AGGGGCCCAGAACTGGACACAAGACTTGAAGTGCAGCCTGACCAGCACCCAGTACAGGGGGACAGATACTGTCTGCTGCTCGCACCACTTTTCATGCAGGCCAGGATGCCAGTGGCCTTCTTGCCTACCTGGGCTGGCTCATGTCCAGACAGCTGTCAACCTCAGGTCCTTTTCCTCTGGGAAGCTTTATAGCCTCTCTGGCCCAGGCCTGTAGCATTCAGAAATGGAAAACAAGGTGCTTTGCACACAGGCCTCCAAACAGGTACAAAAAAACGTATCAGAAATACTTTTTACAGGAGTGCCGTTTGTACTTTGGCATTTTGCTCACAGACACAGCAGAGTTCTACACAGCATTTAAGGATTGCCACAATGGAGACAGAAAAAGGTGGAGTCCCCAGTGTTTAGAGAACCATCTTCAACTTCTAAGTAACACTGGTGAGAAAGGGGAAGTGAACACAGAGAGTACATGTGGGGGGAGGGGGGAAGGGCATACTAAAAAATGAAAAGGATAGACTGGTGCCAGCCTAGATGACAAACAGGTGTTCAGGAACAATCATGGACTGCACTAATCAGTATCTGTAATGGAAGGAACAAATGTCATTTCATTTCAGAAAATCAGGAGTAAAAAAATACTCTCACAGAAGATATAAATGAACACAATGGCACTGTCATAGCCTGATGCTAAAATCTTCCATTTCTTATCAATTTTATTTGTATGAATACCAGCATGCCTTCACTTACAGGAAACTTTCTGGAGGTCTCAGCAACTTGCAGCAATAAGAGGTGTTGAGGTCAGAAATGAAAGTTTATAATTCATATTGAAAGCAGACTGGGAACTGTTTAATTGTTTATCTGACATTTTTCTCCCCACAGACCTGATGATTGCAGTGTAACTCCCCACAGTCACATGCTCAATCTTGCTAGCTAACAGAAATCTTTTTTTGAGTACAGAAGAAACCCAAACCACCATCACTTATGCCAAATTTAAAGCCTACTGCCAAGGCCTTAGGCATGTGACTCAATGTGAGGTGTTCTGCTCCTGTGAATGCTGTCACATCTCCTACTTCACCTTAGAATTGGGGTGAACTTGTTTATGACTCAAACTAAGTATTTTTGTCAAGAATCCTACTTTTACTCAGACAGCTGAGAGAAAAGTCAACAACCCCGCACTGAGGTAGCAACCCTTTATGTTAAATCCTTATGTTTCCTCCTGCCTCCCTCTCAACTGGAGTAATTTAAAACTCTAATTTCCTTGGTACAAAGGCTGGTATTTCTCCATAAAATATAAATGTGTCAACTCTAGGCCAGGATTAACAAACCTTACTGTGAACATGAAAGTAAGGTTTTTAAAAAATATTGGAACACCCCTTTCATCTCCCCAAAAGCTTTTGCTGCACACTACATAAGGCTCTAATCAGAAAGACATCACCAGACAGCACTCTTCAAGAAAACACTGCTTAAGTAACAGACAACTAAGCAGAAGCCATTAAAGCTCATCAAATCCAAAGGACTGAAAAAGCAACTTTTGTAAACAGGATTAATATTCAACATGGTATGAACTCTGCAAAAAATAATGTTGTTTGAGACATCAAGAGATTTCTTAAAGATGGAGAGGAAACCCCACTCTTGCAAAATGCTGACAGAAAAGTACGTTTCTGCTGTTTTCAACATCTACTCCATTCCATTTTTGATAGTCTAAATAAAAACTATAGCTAGAAAACAGTGATACAGAGTTACATGAGAAAAACAAAACACTTCTTAAAAAAAAAAACCCTCAAAACACTACAAGCTAAAAGACTTCAGAGTCTCTAGAAACAATCTAGTCCACTTACCCAAGGGCTGACTACAGACCCAGAAGACTAGCTCAAGTGCTCATGAACACAACTGTCTAACATATGTTGATGTCAAAACCATCTCTCGTAACTGAAGTCCTTATGTGCTGTGCACAGAACAGGATTTACAGAAAAGCAATCTGTCAGAAAAAAATGCTCTCATGTACTGAAGAAAATGACAGTGTCACAGCTAGTTGGTTTTCTTCCTTCGTATTACCTCTTTTCCCCATGTTTTTAAAGCACTAATGTCCAAAATCCCTGAATTGAGCAGTGAAGACTCAGTGTGTTAAAAAGGATATTTATTTCACTATATATTTTCACTTCCCCACCAGCAAAATATTTCCTTCCTTCTCTGTCCAATCTGCACATCTTATTTCCCCAACACACAGGAATGGATGACAGCAATCAATGTCTGGTTTTCTCTTCTGTCTGTCCTGAACTGTAGTAATTCATCAGCAATGCAAGCAGGCTTGCTGTTTCCTAACAGAGCTTATAGACTTGATACCTAATAATCACTGAAGAAAAATCAACACAGCTTGGCCAAAGGCACCAAGATATTCTAGCAAGCACAGTCAAAATGGCACCAAAAGAGACAGCCTTCCACTGCTGTAGAAACTATGTTACTATATGCAGTTCTATATTTATGTCTTTAAATAATAGGGTTATTTGTACATAACCCTAATAAATTCTTGTACAGTGTCAAATGTATATTATCTGTATTCTGTATAACATACAGAAGTTAGACATGCAATTACAGAGGCATTTTGAAGTATGCTAGAAGGCAATCACTTTCAGAAAATTACTTTGAAAAAAATCTAACAACAGATACCATAAAATTTTCTCTCCTCAAAAGTCAGGGATTTAGAAAAATTAATCTTATTAGCCTTAATCAGCTCTGAAAGTCATTAGCAAGACATTTTACTTTCTTTGTCTTCCTTCTCCTACAAATTTCCTTTTGCTGTGTCAAGCACTCATGCTGGTAAACCAGCTCAGCAAGTTCATCAGACATAAAATAACCTTACATAGACATACAAATAACCGAACATAAAAAAGTTGAGAGCATCACCAGCTTGTCATGTTTCAGAATGGAACAGAAAGGGATGGTGGTGGTAAGGAACCTGTCCTTTTCATGACAGTCTACATTTTATCACATCAAACACACCACAAACTGCACCCCATGAAACTAGGTAGAGACACCTAGTATTAGACAAAATATGTCTGAGAGCTGAGAGCTCTCAGTCTGAGAGCTCCTGTAAGTCAGGCAGGGCTATAGCCTCTAACTCCTTAAGAATCTTACATTAAATGTAACTAATCTTCTTGAGAAACAGAAAACTTAGTTACCAATGTCTCTGGAAAATCCCATTTTTCACACATATTCAGCTGTGAAACACCACATCCTTTCAGAAGCCTGCAGATGTTCTCAGTACTGAGTGTTTTCAGTAGGAGTCCACAACAGCAATGCTTTTATTATTGTCTTTTTCATTTCAAGTAAGCTGTTTACAAAGAAGCTTAGCAAACTACAGGGCAGAGGAAGTTCTTCTAAAGATGAAATTACAGCTTTAGCAGATTTTGCTTCTGCAGGCAGGATGAGACTAATGGTTTAAATGATCTAAACTGTTTCTGCACTTACTGACTTCAAATTAGAAATGTGTTTTATAATCTGTCTAGTGAAAATACTAAATTAGGCTAAGAATTAAGATTTTTTTTTTTTTACATCGGCATTTTAAACAGTATTCCAAGTGCAAAAAAAATTGAAATTTGGATGTACTTAGGGATCAGATGATCCTGGTTTGGGAGACATCAACTACTTATCTATTTAATTAAAATCACAGTGGATTTTTAATTTCTAAGTAAGAATTTAAGCTTATCACTGACAGATGATACAAAAACATGATAAATAGACATTAAACTTTCCAGACCAATTCCTCACTTAAAAAACCCCAAAACCCTAAAGGTAATGGTTAAATTTGTGACAGAAGAATGTGTATTTACCTGAAAAATGCCACTTCTATGCTAAGATTTAAAATTGTGCAACTTCCAATAGCTTTTCAATTTCTTTTTAGAAAAAACTACGGTTGCTATTAATTTTCTTAGAAGATCGGCTTTGCAGTAAATTTTTCTGTAAAAAACACAGGAGCAACACATTATGCATTGATGACTAAATGCACTAGAAAGGGTGATGTGCACATTGACACCTGAATTTCGAGGAGCACATTTAAAGTCTGTCTGTTAGGAGTCCTACAACTGAAAACAGTGGATTCCACCTTCGAGGATGAAGAATGTTGCATGAGACTATACTATAAAACTAATTTTACGCGCTAATACATTGCCAATCCGTGAAATCACGAGCCCAGAGTACTTCAGCGCTGTTTCTAAAAAGGGCAGAAGGTTTCCTGTGCATTTCAAGCTACGCAAGCAGCCCCCGCACGGCCACCGCCGCCCGGGCACGCCACGGCTCCAAGTGCCATCGCCGGGCACCGCGGCAAGAGCAAGGCCGGGGCAAGAGGGCTTTGCCGAGCCCACGACACGGGGAGCCTGTCCCCGGGCGATGGCTCCGACTTGGGAGCACTGGCGAACCTTCTCCCGAGCTAGGGCGGGCACGGGGTCCGGCCCAGACTCGGCGCCCGCGGCAGCCCCCTCGGCTCTCCAGCCACGGGAGGGGCAGCCCTGCCCCGCCGTCACCGCCGTGAGGTGCCGAGGTTCATGGCGGCGGGGCGCGGTCCGGAACGGAAGGACGGCTGTGTCCGCTCCTACCCTGGCCTGGGCTCCGCCTGAAAGCGCAGACCTGAAACCCAAGCCATCCGCGTGCCGGCAGCGGCGCGTTGCGTCGCGCTCCGCACGGCGAGGACAGGCCGGGCCGCTCTTTGCTTCCCTCACCTGGTTTGGCCGGTTTCGGTGGCGGCTTGGACATGGCTGACCTAAGCACGGACTGGGGAGCGGCGCGACGGCGATGGGCTGCCGGGGCGCGGGTGTCCGGCGGGAGGCGGCGGTACGAACGCCGGCGGTACGAACGCCGGCGGTGCCCGGGCGCGGCGCGGCAGCAGCCGGCAGGAAGGGCACGTCCCCGGCCGGCGCCTCCCGCCCCCGCCGGCCGCGGGCGCTGTCCCGGCCCCGCGCGGCACGCGGCCAATCAGCGCGCGCCGCGCCATGAGGCCCGGCCGCTTCCCTCTCCGCGCTCCGCCCGGCCCCAGGAACCGCCCGGGCCCAGGAACCGCCCGGGCCCAGGAGCCGCCCAGGCGGCGCGGCCCGAGGGACGGGGCTGGCCTCGGCGGCTGCGGGGCGGCTGCTCCGGGCAAGTCGGCCGGGGCGTCGTGCGGTCGGGACCGCCCCGGCTCGGAGGCGGGCTCGCCCCGCGCAGCTCCGTGACGGGACGTCAGAGACTGGCGGAAGGATGTGCCGCTAGCGCCGTCGCGGCGTGGCTGAAGTTAAGTGTGAACTCCGCAGGCCCTGAAGTGTTGGAGCCGGGAGCCTCCGCCAGCCCCGCTGTGCGGGCCCGTGCCTGGGAGAGACGTTCCCGGTCCGGGTTCGTGCGCCTTCGGCTGGCCCCGTGCGTGGGAGCGTTGCCGCGGTATGCCCTTAAAAACGGGGTGACTGCAGTGATGTGCTAGCGCTGTCATGGATTTGTGCTCTATTTGAAAAGACAGATGACCCAGGGTAGAGTAGTGTAGGATTTCTGTGTTGCAGCATTTCTGACAAATTTGCTTTTGAAATTTGTTTTACACATTACTCAGGGCGGCACAAGAGTTGGTGCGGTTTTTTATAATTGTGTTTTTTGTCATAGACTGGGATTAATTTGCATATAGACGATGGCATAAAATAAAGTCCAAAGGTGAACACGTTTGTTCGGTTCGTTGCGTAATACCCTTTGTGGCACAAAGGGTAATCCTCTGCAACACAAATCTTACTGGTGACTTCTAGAAAGGAGCTTTTTAATCTTATTTTTGTAGCCTGAGTATCAACACTTCCTAAGAAAAAATTACCTGTCTTCCCTCTTTGCAATGATAGCCAGTACTATAAGCATTCAATGAAGCGCCCAATTTGAACATTACGATATTCCTAGAAGATTAATGTGTACTAACTTAAAAAACTCACAAATGCCAACTAATGTAGATAAGCAGCACCATTGTAAAGCAATGGGTATCATATAGGTGACAGCTTGCACTAGTGAATATGTCTTTTGTTTTGGTTTTTTTTTTTTTTAGCATGCAAAGATCATATCACAGGCATGTGAAACACTGGAACGTCCAGTCATTGCACCAAAGACAAGACAATGATATTATTTCAGACTCCTCGTGCGTCAAGAGCTTGCTTTCACAGAAACTATGTGATGCTCTGTAACAGTCTTTTTTCTAATACAATACACATACTTGTTTGTTGGAGGCCGGAAGAGTTTTACCTGCTCAGTCCTTTCAGGTCTTAGGTGTCATAGGTTGTACCTTCCTAAGTCTGACCTAGGAGGATAGAGCAGGTAAAAAGGTTATAAATTGAAGTGTGAAACTGAAAACAAATATTGTTTCCCCTGTCTTTTGCGGAACAGTTTTTCAGCTGCGGTATTTTTCCAGGATAGTTCATTATGTTCTCTGAACAAATACCTATTCCAGAAGACAGTTCAGGGGAAAGAGCTAGGGCAAGGCAGTATTAGTGTCTCCTGGCAGCTCTGACTACTGAAGGTGGCAGGCAGTCAGAGCCTCAGGTGGGATATGGTGGCAGCAGCAGGGATATGGTGGACAAATTAACCTTTAGAGTTTACTCTTCGATCTTTGCAGGGAAAAATAAGTGCTGCCTAGTCCTTCTCTATACTAAGTCAGCTAGTATGGCTTAAACTACCCTTGCAGTAGTTTTAATGCTTCCAGATTAATCTGTGGTGGGGCAGAGGAGGAAGATTTGTATGGTCTGTGCTGTTAATACCCTTAGAAAGGGAATAGTGAATTACACAGTGACTATTGCATTGCTGACACCAGGATTATAAAAAGTTTTTGAACATACCCTTTGTTACAAGTCTTCATTAAATTTTAAAATGTCTTTCTCTTTAGCATGTTTCTTTCTTAATGATTTTGTTTGTTTTGCCACCACAGCTTTTGTTTACCTAGTCTTTTTTATATTAATGCTTGAACTAATGATTGTGCTTTTCTTTAGGAACTTGTATGATATTAATGTTGTTAGAATCGAGTCTCCCAGAGTTCCTTTCAAATTATTAAAATACTGTCAAAAATAAATTGGAATTTAAGATGAGGCATATATATTGCAGGTTTTCTGTTAGCACTGGAACAAGTAGCTAAGATTCTGACTGTGCCTTTGCAAAAAGAAAAATGATGGACAACAGAGAGAAAATAAATTAACTGTATAATTGGTGTTTCTTAATACCATAGTTGCCTTCTTGATCCTGAATTAAGATTTTTCACTGACTATTGTTTTTGACAGTAAAAGGGAAGACGTGAGGAGAAAACAAACTATGAAAGTATTGGTTATTGGCCTTGGGGGGTAAGTTACACAAAATTAAATTTCCTTACAGCTTAAGACTAATCTTCTCAGAATGATGTGATGTAATTTCTATTTCTGAATGCAATTTTTTAAACTGGATTACAAATGCTACATATAATTGTATAGTTTTATAGCATGTAACTCTTAAAAGTTGCATGCTATAAAACTATAAAACACGGTTTTGTGTCAGTTGGAAGCTTCAGGGGCAAGCGTCTGTAGCATCTTTCTTGGCACTGCTTCATTTACTGTACTGATTATTGAAAACTGTTGGAACATCGCAAAAAATTTCTAGACGTAGAGAGTATTTAAATTTTATTATGACTAAAATGTGACTAAAATTTGGGGGAAGTTGTATTGTTTATTTGCATATAAGTATACAGAAATATATGTGTGAGCTTGTACATATGTTTAAAAGTTTCATTTTTGCCTTGGTGAACTTTTTACAATGTTTTTTCACAGTGTAACAAATGGAGGGAAAACAACATTAGCAGAAAAACTTAAGAATATGCTTCCTAACTGTGATGTAATCTCTCAAGATGACTTCTTTAAGGTAACAATTTTAATGGAAAAACCTGATAGGTAAAAGTAAGCTTGAGTAAATTTCAATTATTTTTTCAGTTCTCCTATTGGTGAACTTTTAAAATTGGTGCTGCTCAAAATAATGTTGATTTCATGAGAATCATAAAATGAGCACTGTGGTAACTGAAATTTAAATTGCCAAACTACTGAATATACTCAGCCAAAAGAAATTTCCTGTCTTCTTTTTCACTCTTTTAAATAAGGCATAGATGTATGATGGATGCAGTTCTCAAGGCCTTCTGTGCTAATGAGTTTAATCATACTATCTTAAGCTTACACCCATACAACAATAAGTAGTTCTTTGTCTCCCAAGTCAAAACAGAAAAACAGCTTGTGTTTTGACACACACTTTTCTCAAGTAAAGCTCTAATTAATTTAATGAAAATGATTTGGAATGTTTGTTGTTCTAGGTTAAATAAAGTTTTTGTAGTATATTTTAACAATTGTTGAACAATTGTAACAATTGTTACATCAGTTGAATGTTGAAGATAAATTTAACTAATTGCATACAAAAGTTTATCCTTACGATTATAACCAGACTATGTATCTCTTATAAAAGCATGGTCATAAAAGCAACCTTGAAAAAATTAAATTTTTTTCCCCCTTCAGCCAGAGTCTGAAGTAGAAACAGATGAACGTGGATTTAAGCTATATGATGGTCAGTAACTCTGATGCACTGCTTTTGAACATTGTACTGAAATCGTTGTGCTGAGCTCCAACACTTCTTCCACCGCATCCCCTCGCTCTCTTCCCTTCCAAGCACGGCAGTAAACAAGTGGTTGTTTCAGAGCAATCCTCTTCTTAAAATCATTCAGCTCACTGAGAGTTTTTAATACTCTAAGAAAACTTGCTTAACAAGTAAATAGCTCAAGCTAGTGCTTGACCTTTCCTTTTCTCTTTTGAGTATTTTCCGCTATTTCTTCACTTGTGTCTTGTTTAGTAGCACATGGTACTGTTCACTTAGAAGTCTTGGTTTGCAGTACTGGCATAAGCTTAATGTCATCACTTGGTAATGGCCCTTTTTTTTCTGCTTTTGCTGGTGAGCTAATGGGATATTGCTATTGGATTTTCCAAGTCAGTCGGTTTATCCTGACATCTTTATTTAATGTCACATCTCACAAAAAAAACATATATTTTTAAGTTTGTGATTAATGCTGGCTCTGTTTATTCCTAGAGATGTCTAGATCCAGATCCACTTTAGGCCAATGTTTTGTGTCCGGTCATATCTACTTGTAAACAGTTGCTCGGTTAATAGCTAATCTCTGTTGATACTTTGTGATCACAAAATATATTGCTGAGAATATTGATCAGACCCTTCAGTTGTACTTGAAAACTCATCATTACCACCGATGCAATCTTTGTAAATGGAATGTGAAAGGAGAGGGATAAAATGGACATTCTTATTCAAATATCCAGGTTTAATGCTGCTCTTAAAAGCTCTTTAGAAATGTGTTTGCTGCTATGGTATGCAAAAACTATCTTATTTCTACCTTTTAATACTTCCTCTTGTGTGTCTACAGACAAATACAGGTGTAACATTATGCTATTTTGCTTTGTACACCATGGTCCTTTAACTTTCTTATGCCTGCCTGATGAACCTTATAAAAATCCAAACAAAAAAATTTCGAGTGTCTACTCCCCATTCTGACAATTGACAAAATGGTGGAGGTCTCAGGGTTAGTAAATTTTTACAAGTTTTGTGAAAGTGGAGAGCAGTCACTGAAGTTTCTGTCATGAAGTCAAAAGCTGTGAATTCAGTTCAGACAATATTAGATGCCATAAAGTTCAGAGAGACTACACCCAACAGAAATACCCCAATCCTAGTGCAAGCTTTGGTTTCAGGAAGTCATGAATAGTAAACACAGAACTACTGATATAATCTTTGGAGTAATCCTGTTCCCCTTTGTGTAAGTTTGTATGTAGATTATTTGATTCTTACTGATTAATGTAGAGATACTTAAGGTTGTTTTTTTTTTATTCCTTGTTTTTAAGGGATGTTTAACTTTGTTTTCATCTAGTACTTGATGCCCTCTATATGGATGAAATGGTGACAAGTATTCGAAATTGGATAAAAAGCCCAGCAAGCTCAGGTGTTGTGAAAGAAGAGACAGAGAATACATCTGACAATCTGAAAAATGTTTATATTTTGATTGTTGAAGGCTTTCTCCTTTACAATTATGAGTAAGCAGTAATATATAAACTGGTAAATAAAAAGCTATCCTAAAATGGAAAAGGGAACTAAATATCTTATTATCTTAGGCCACTTAATGAACTATGGAATAGAAGATATTTTTTGACCCTTCCTTATGAAGAGTGCAAAAGGAGAAGGAGGTGAGATTATTGACATCTTGTTTAAAAAGAGTCACTGCACGCCCTGAAGTAGTCCTTTTGTACTAGCTTTTCTTTAGTGCTTGCAAAATGTAAACTATTAAGATCATCTATCATCTGCTTGTTAGTTTGAGGTTGTTTGGTTTGGTTTTTATTTTAGAGCACATGGTTATTCAAGTATGAAGTGCTTTACAAATGCGAAAAAGAGAATTTATTGTCATGATAAATGATTTCATTACTGATTGTATATTTGAGTAAAACTGCATTGAAAATGAGAAATGGTTAAAAAAAATACTAAGCACTCTTATTCTTGCTTAAATACAGTTAACTGATGATTATTCTTTGAGTAACGATGTTCATGTGTGGGTTAAGTGTATGGTTTTGTTTAGACTGTCCATTAATTTTACCATGGATCTAAACTAGATTATTGAGCTGTCTGACTTGCCGCTAAATTTGGAGCAATACTGTGTGCTTCGAATAATACATGTGCACAAAGTCAGAATCTGCTGGCTGAGTGAAGAAATCTTCTTTTCACCTGCCTGTGGTGATACCCACAGGTTTTCTTTCTTGGTTTCTCACTAGACTCACTTAAGACTTTAGTGTCCAGAATGGAAGAGTCTAGACTAAACAACTAGTCATTTAAAGCTTGAGAAATCTGTATACCTAGTAAATAGACAAAAAGTAGCTTATTGTGGAAGTCGTGTCAATACAGTTTAATTTAGCTGTAATACCTTTAAAAAAAATTAAAACCCCCAAACTTTTACCTTATCTTAAATGTGGCTTGATTGGCAAAAATAGGTAAGACAGCAAAATACAGCAGAAATTCATGTCACAGATTGAATTAAAACAAAGGAGCCTCCTTGACTCCAACAAAAATACAGCCAGCCTTTCCTCTTTTATTTTTGATAAAAGCTGTTATTTAACCAGCTGACATTAGGGGAAAATATAAAACTTACATGGGAATGCATATGTATTTTTCTGTAGTACCAGAGTCTATCAGCCAGCAGATACACCAGGGTACTTCGATGGACATGTGTGGCCTATGTATTTGAAATATAAAAATGAATTGGAAGAGAATGCAAGTATGCAAGTTGGTATGGTATCCTTAATTTTAAACTTATAACATGCTTAAGTGTGGTACTTGTGCAGTTTTTGTTGAATTTGGCTTTGTTTTTTAAAGGAAAAAAATTTTCTTCAAATGTTTTTGTGGCACTTAGGATGTTTTGATGTTTCTATTAGTTTATATTTCAAGCCTATAGGGATTTTGTTTTTGTTATTTAATAATGAAAATTAGGAAGTTGAAAAATAGAAATGTTCTTCTGATCACTAATTAAGTCCACTTAACAAGATAACACATTTATGTCTAAATAGGAAGCTTCTGAGGCGGTAGCTGATGTACTGGCAGGTTCTTTAGAACAAAACTGAAATCCTGGTGAAGTCTTGTAATAAGCTGACGATACTTTCTAGGTGCTGACTGTCCACACTACAGTCACCAGTTTTTCATGAGACATGTCAAAGCTGGGGCAGTTGTTGGGGTAGTGCCACAAGTTTGTGTGATGCTCACACTAACACAGCTCTTGGACTACCTGCTTCTGGAGTGAGGCCAGAGGGAAAGGGAGGGAAGTAGGGTCGCCTCATTGTCATTAGCACACTGCTTCCTGCTGTGCAGCAAGACTGAGAACTGCAGTGCTCCTCCAGAGCTTGCTCAAAGGCTGAAACTGAGCAACCTGAAATTATCTACTGCACAGAAACCTTTTTGCTGAATTATTCCATTGCTCCACTGTCGTCACATAATTACCATTACACTTATGGAGACTTTTCTACCACAAAAAAATTGTACATGAATTATTAACTAGAATTATTTTCCATTATGTTGTTTTTTTAACATGTAAAACAAGTTTGGGGAAGAGGAAAATGAGAGGCGCTGTTCTTGGTTTTTCTTTTTTTCTTCTCTTCTGATGGCACCTATAGGAATTCTTAAAACTTTGCCAGTTGCCATTACAGATAGCTGACATAGAACTCATGAGCACATCTTCTTTTTTCTTCCTCAGATTATTTGGATGGAACAAAATCCCAAGAGGAGCTTTTATCCTATGTGTATAGTGATATAATACAGGAATTAAACAAGCTGAGGGAAGAAAGTAAGTAATGTTACTTGAAATTGAATCTATGTATCCTATTCCCTGTTAACAAGAGGCTGATACTTTCATTTGAAACTACTACAAGAATGAAAGAGATCTGTATTTCTTTATGTTTGCTCATTACTCTGAGTCAATTTCAGTAAAAACTGTTGAGTTCCTTGAAATTAGATGTTCTAAGATCATAGCTGAATCCACTATTACTTAATAATAATAAAAATTGTGGAAGAGAAAGAATATGGGATAAAACATCAATGTAAACAAATGTGTTAGTGGAATTATATTATCACTAATATACAGTGATGCTGCTTTCAAATACGACAGGTTAGATATGTACTCTGTATTTATATTAGATCAGCAGGTCACAGCATGACAGTGTAGAAATCCTGGGTTCCATTTGATACGAGTTGAAAACACCAAGAGAGTCGTATATGGCAAGCCAACCAACTGAGCAAATGTTGTGCGTATGACCATAATGCTACTTCATATAACACAAGAGATTTTGTAAGTAATTAACTCTCTCTTGGATATGGAGACAGAGACTCCATTTAGGAGTATGAAAACTGCATTCTATCAATTTCCTTTTATCAATCCTGCTTTGGTTGAGCTTTAAATCTGATTGAATGTGTACATTTTAAAGAACATGAAGATTTTTGTGCATAAAACTAAACCATAAAGATGCACTTCTGTTGGATTAATAAGCATATCTGAACATGCATGATTGCAATTTGAAATGATCATAAGAATGATAGTGATTGCCTCTAATATTCTTAGGAGCATATTATCACTGATAAACATGCTCAGAGAAACTAGTTGTGTAAGTTGCTGTGCTGCTTATTCAGTAACTGAATACATCACAGCTAAACTTATTTAGACTTGCTAAATACCTCTCTGGTGTTTGCACTGTCGTTTTTGTGTTGTATATTGTTTAGAGCAGTTGGGAATAGATGTTAAGAAAATGAAAATAAGCCTGAAGAGGACTCTGATTGTTGGACAAGGTTGGAGATGTATCATTAACAAGATATAGTACATAAATTGTGCAGAGATTGACTGGGATGGCACAGACAACTAGATAATAAATCCATGCTTCAGGGAGGAAGAAGGAAGAAATAATTGTTATTATTTCTTTAATTTTTATTATTTCTTTTTCTAACATTCGTAACTCACGTTGAAAGTGAAATGAAACTGAAATGTTGTGAATGACATGTTCAGAAAGCAGGAATGCCAGACAAATGGGAAAGCTTTGTTATAGAATTTGTGTATATATATTTACACAAACTAGGAAATTGGATCATATTTTGTTGCTGAATAAATTATGTCCTAACTCTTATATTTTCTAGACAATACGTTACATTTTTATAAGCCAGAATAAAAATAAAACTGCAGACATGGAAAGGAAAGGATGAGTTTTATTACTCGATATGTGACAGCTGAACTGGTCAGTGATTGAAATGTAGTACTTTATTGTAAAACTCCTAAATCTATGTATAAGAAAAAGATGTTATCAGATTACAGCTGTGTTTAAAACAAAGTGCTTTCAAATATAATTTTGTACTACTATTTTGCACTAAAAATTCTTCATCTTGCATTTGCTTATATGCTGTGATGGACTGTCTGACTTTAAACTGTATTTTTGTTTTTATTTCTCTTTGGAAAAGGTACAATTGCAAGAGATTAGCTAATGCATGGAATGGCTGTGGAGGGCTGACCTTGGCTAGCCACCAAAATAGGAGAGGGGAAAAAATGTAATGGATTTGCATCTTGACTCATGCATCAAGATAAGGACAGGAAGATCACTCAGCAGTTACTCACACATGCAGTCAAAACAGGCGTGGTTTTGGGAAATTATTTGAATCTACTGCCAATAAAATCAGAAATAACGAGAAAAATAAGAATTTAGAACAAATCATAAAACCCCTTCCCCCCACGCCTCCCTTCTTCCTGGGATTGACTTTTTGCACAAATTCTCTACCTCCTGTCTCCCAGCAGCAAAGGTGGGTGGGGATTGTGTTGCTTCTTCCTCTTCACAGTCTCCTGCTGCTCGAGACGGTGCTCGAGTGGGGTCTTCCAATTCCACCTGCTCTGCATGCTGATTCAGAAGAGGGAAGGAATGAAAAATGGTATCACCTGACTTTATTCTCAAGTAGTCCAACAGTGGTGCTGAGGCAAGAAGCTCAGTTTTGTCAGATCCTTGTATAGGGAAAAAATGGTAGATGAGCTCCAATACAGATCTATGCATTTGTGATGTAAATCATTATTGGAATATATGGTGCTTCAGCAACTTGTATAAAGAGCTCAGGGCATAGATCTTTCACAGTTCTTCTATAACCATGCCACAGTTTGGAGCTGCATCAATTTTTTTTTATTTTATTTTTGCAAACAAAATAGGTGGTCTTACTTGGCTCCTTGTGTGAGACCAGCGGACACATGTTTTCAGAGCTGGGCAGTTCTGGTTTCTACATTTGCAGGGAGTCCATAGTAGAGCTGAAAGAAGAGCAACTAAATTTCAGTATCTTGAAAGCTGTGAGTCAAATGGATGTAGCACTAGTATTCACCAAATTTTACAAATACTAGTCTGGAGGACACTTCCTCATTTGAAACAGATGGACCAATTTTTATTAAGGTGATACTTCACACAGGTAGAGGTGATACTTTATGCAGCAGACACTGACCTTCTAAGATGTAATGCCAAAGGTGGCAGACAGTACAAGCAAGTTCAAAAGGGATCCAGAAAATTCATTGACACTTTACCCATAAGTAGTAGTAAAAGAAGCAGGCAGTGCTATAGCATAGATGTAGAAACTGACCAGGCTCACCTGGTGTCCTTAAATTGTGCACTCTTGCCAGTTGCTGCAGCAACTCTGCCACAAAAAATAATGAATTCTTCTGGGTCTTTTGGTAGATAAAGTATTTCAAGTGCCATTTATAAAAGCTTACAGAGCTGGCCTGTTACTTGGCATGTTGGCAGAATGCTTTTAGTTTGAAGGTGGTACAGCCCTTGACAGAAAAAAATACTTTTTTTTCTAGTTTGCACTTGGTGAATGCCTTTGCATTGCCAGGGCTATGGTAGCTGTGAAGTGGTTGGGGAGAGCTGCATGACAGAAGCCTGTGGTTCTTTAGTGAAGAATAGATAACTTTCTGGAAGTGGTGTCATCTGCTGGCAGCAATTTCAGGCTGTCACAAGTAAGAGAAAGCTTTGCTCAGTGACTGGCTTGTATTCAGAAATGTGGAGCGATAGAGGTGATGGTGTTCAATAAAAGGCTAATGGCTTTTATATAAAGACAGGAATACAAGTATATTATTTGTTTGGTATTTAGAAGGTGATTTTCTGATGTTAAAATAGCAGAGTATGACAAGTCATAAACACTGATGTAGAAACAAACTTTATCTCTCTGAGCTTATGATTCCTACTCTAACTTTTAAAGTCTAAAGGCTGAATTTATGTTTAGACTATGTATCATTGATTCAAATGTGAGTTTTGTCACACAGACGTGTTTCCTAATTTACATACCCACTTGGGAACAATGACTCTTCTGTCCATTGAACTGGGTATGTATTTGGTTTCTCTCTGGCATTGCCACTGAACACAGTGTCCAGTGTCCACTCACTGCCTGGTCAGTTACTGTAGTTATAGGAGAGCAGGAGCAGTGTGTGAAAGTGTTTATTTTAGGAAGCTAACCCTTTCCTATTGCTGCTGCTTTACTTGGATTACTAAATAATTGCCCCATCATTTGACAGACAGGAGGTATGGTAGGGCTCTTTAGGTTTTAAGACTGAGTGGATGAGCCCTTACAAATGAGGCAGTATCAGCCACCTCTTCTCAAAGCACGGTGCAAAGATGCATGGTGTGACTTGGTACATGACATGGTGTCTGCACCTGGTCAAACAAGTTTTGTCAGGTGGAGGAGGATGTGCCCATCTTCCCAGGAAGCATCATCTGTCTTCAGTCTGGTGCAGCGTGCGAAGTTAGTGCCCCTTGGCAGCACAGCGAGCTCGCCGCGCCGGCCGCCTGCCAGCTGGGTGTACACCCGCCCCCAGCCTGGAGCCGGCAGCCGGGCGGGGAGGTGGGCTGTGAGCGCCGAGCCGGTACTCGTGTGCCTGGGGAGCCCCGGGGAGCCCGGCACGCCTGAGGCACCCCTGAGGCGGCCAGCGGCACTGCCGCCTCCCGCACCTGGGCGGACCCCTCAGGCCGCGGCCCCGCCCGGCGGCGGCCCGGGACGCGCCTCGGGAGCGCGCACACGCAGTCGCGCGGCCAGCCCCGCCCCTCTCGCGATACCTCCTGCGCGGGGCGGGCGGCGCGCGCCGTGCCGCGGGCGCGGGGGATGTCGGCCGCGTGTGCCGTGTCCCGGAAAGCGCCGCTGCCGAGGCCGCGTCCCCAGGGCCAGAGGGAGCCGCCCGCCAAGGTGATGCGCAGGGGGCCGCGGCGGGGCCGCGGGGAGGAGCGGGAGCAGCTGCCGTGGCCGGGAGAGAGCGGGAGTGGCATGGGCGCGGAGGCCGAGGCGGAGCGAGCGGCACCGCTGAGCGACGAGTGGCGGAGGCGGCAGCCGAGGGCGCCGACGCCGGCGTCGGCCAGAGCGGTGGAGGAGGAGGAACGCCTGGAGCGGGAACATTTTCGGAGAATCATCAACGCTTTCCGATACTACGGGTGAGTGAGGCCTGCCCTGCGGGGGTCCCTGCGCTCCCCCGGGAGCGGAGCGGGCCGTTCGCTCCTGCTGCGCGCCCTGCGGCCGCCCCCGGCCCGGCCCGGCCCGGCCCGCTCCGTGCGCAGCGCCGGGCCCGGCCGGCACGGGGCTGCTGCACCGCTTTCCTTTCGGGTTACGCGCAAAGTCGCCTTGATACTTGTCAGTTCCAAAGCACCAAATCTGAAAAGAGCGCCTTGAGATGTCTTAGGAGATAAAATGCTCTGAGACGCTGTACAGTCTACAGTAGTGTCTCTTGCTGGCAAAGAAATGCAAAATGTAGTTTCGATTATGGGTGGGAATTCTTGAAAGGCTTTTACTTTGCAGAAGAGATAAGGCCTATTTCTAGGGATTATGGATGCCGTTTTTGATAACATCCGTTAAGTTAGAAGGAGTTTTGCTGGCTCCATAGAAATGAGGAACACCTAGTTTTAGGACTGAATCCGTTTAGTAGACGAGGAAGCAAGTTACTCGCATTGCATGGAAGTGGAGACTGGCTGGAAAAGTCCAGCCAAGTTTTGGTAAACCGTTTCCTGTTTCTAGGTTTGGGAAGCAGATTTGTACTTCAGCTAACAAAGCCGCATCACGCAGCTCATTACTATGTGCTGGGCCTTCTTTAGGCAATGTAGCACAGGCATAATATGTACATCGTAGTGAGGTTCTTGGTAGGAGTGAGCGATACTTACATAATTTCTTCTATTTGAGGTTTGTCCATGTGAGTTTCTTTTGTCTTCCAGGACAAGTGTTTGAGCCGGAGGTTGGTCTGAATGATGCTTTGCTGTTTCTTCCAAAGTGAATTCTCTAATTCAGTTTGGACATATCGAAGACCTAGTTAATTAAAAGTATCTAATACTGATTGCTACTAATTAATTCCGACTGTAACTTATTTATATTAGTGGTATACTTGCACCCTCAGGCCTTAGAAACTGGGAGTATCTTTCTCAGCCTTCTGCTGAACTGTGGTTTTGGATTGCTTTTGAATGCTTGTTTCAGTAAAAACATAAGAAAAGGATGTTATTCATATTTGCAGTATAGAGATTCAATGAAATTACTTCTGTCTCAAAGAAATAATTCTAAATTTAGGTGAAATTACATATCTTGGTACTTAATAAATGGGATTTTTTTTTCCTCATACATGTTTCCAGTTAACTTGGAAATATCTGTTTGAATAAGACAGTAATACACTTTCAGATGAGTCCAGATCTTGTTCTTGTCTTCTAGAGATAAAATTTTTCTATTTCAGTTAGTCATTCTGCTAGATGTTTGTCATTTAGCTTAAAAGGTTGGAGAATAAGGGTCAAAGGCTTTTTTGCTGATAAAATTGCAGGAAGATGTTTTTGAGCTAAGCTGATACGCTTTATGTAGAGCATCAGTTTGTTTTTTCTCTTGTGTTTTTTTGTGTTTCTTATCCTTGAATGTAATTTTAAACCCGTATTGCTATTGCAGCGAACAAGCTGTTCTCAGTAACACATGAATGAAATATTACTTAGTCAAATTTCTAGAATGAGGTTGTAACTAAAATGCCAGCAATTGCAGCTGTCTCTCATAATGGCTAGTTTTTTCAGCTTTGTGCTGCTGTATGCTGACACAAGAGTTGGGAAAGTTCAGTGTGACTTGACTGGCTAAAATAATTTGGTGGTCAGAAGGGTCAGTATCTCGTATTGAATTATCTCTCTAGAGTCGTCATGACTATGCTTTGCTACTATGTTTCTGTCAGTTTAGACAGAAATCAAATCTGGCAAAATCTCGGAAGAGTCACCATTTTGATGAAACTTTTATCCTGGGGAAGAGGAAAATTATTTTTAACTTGCATCAGTCACATGATCATGTTTACAGTACTTACAAGGAATATGCTGTTAGTATCTTTGTGGGTCTTCCAGAATTCTGGTATGGTCCAACTGAGACTTTTACAGTTCTCCTGAAAGCATTGGATATTAAGAATCCCAGTTGCCACTCCACATCTTGTTATTTCTGTAACTGAAGCTTACCACTGCATTCAAATTAATTCAATTTGAATTGGATTTGTGAAACAAACTTGGAAGATGGTCGGTTGTTAAATTTTATAGGTCCGTGTGTTAAGGTACTGATCACCTGCTCTGGAAATGGGTGGCTGAGGATGAAACAGTGAGGAGGAAAGGATAGTCCTCTGAAACTGGAATGTGTTAAATGGAGTAGTAAGATAGAACTAGAGCTTAAAAGAATTTTTGCCTAGAAAATTCTAGAAAACTTTCACTTTCTGTGTTTAAAAAAAATGAATAATTGAAAGAGCTTATAGTGAACTATTTACGTGTGTGTATATTGCTTCTAAATATTTAAAACTTTTGCTTTTCAGAACGAATATGCATGAACGAGTGAACAGAACAGAGAGGCAGTTTAAGTCTCTTCCAGCTAACCAACAGAGTCTTCTTCCTCAATTTCTTCCTCACCTTGACAAGATTCGGAAGTGCATTGATCATAACCAAGAAATACTACAAACCATTGTGAATGACTGTGTTCATATGTTTGAAAATAAGGAATATGGAGAAGATGTATGTTAAAATGGACTTTTTTCTTGCTCCAGAATTAAATTCTATATGCCTTGGGATTTTCTACATTTGTTTTAAATACCTCAAAACTCCAACTATCTTTTCTTTTGCCTTCCTTGTTTCAGCGGTTTTTTTTGCTCACACTTTTCTTACTCTTATCTTTCACATTTTGCAGAGCTGATGTTTAATGTAGTTGTTTGTTGTTAGTTCTGTTAGTTACACTTATGAAAATTAACTGTGAATCTGGCAAATCATTGTTTTCACTCCAGAGTTTTAACTTTTCCTTGGTTAAATTTTAAAAGTAACCTTTTTTTTTTCTGTTATCTATATCGAATATAAGTGATACTGTCTGTCTTCATATAGGTTCTTATATGTTACAACATTACAAATTGCTTGCAATTCTAGATTGTAAGTATTTTTAATGTTTTTATTTGTAAACTTACTTACTACTTGACCTACTTTCTATCAAAAAAAATAACACCAAGACTTAAAGGACTGACAGAGATGGAAACTGAAGTCCTCCTTGGATACAGGCAAGATACAATAATGGGCAGCTCTAATGTAAGCATCTCAGTTTTGCCTTATCCGTATCCAAAGGGATCATTTTTTTCAGGGTATGCAGTTCAGCCTCTGCCTGGCTAAGTCCTGATCCATTCCTGAATAGGGACTACCAGTTGTGCTTCGCTGTGTATTGTTTGTTTGATCTGGAAACTGGACTTTTAAATGCCAAAGAGAGGCCAGCAAACTCAGTTTGTTTAGGATATTAGGGTGGATTTAAGCCTGGGTCTCAGGAAAGACAAAGCTGAGACTCCCACCAGTTCTTGCAGCATGGCCTTTTTTCTCTTCATAATTTGCTTCCCCCCAGGACTCCAGATACTTGGTATGTTTTCCACTAACTTTTTTTTTCTCTCCACTTTATTCAGGGAAGTGGGAAGATTACACCAGCTTCAACTTTTGACATGGATAAATTAAAATCCACATTGAAACAATTTGTGAGAGACTGGAGTGAAGAGGGAAAGTCTGAGAGGGATTCCTGCTACCAGCCAATTATTAGTGAAATTATAAAGAACTTTCCGAAAGAAAAATGGTAATAGTGTCTTAAAGCTTTTATTTATGTGGACTTACACTATTGCACAAATCTAAAACAGAATTTACAGAGTAATGAAAAGCTTTGTTTCAAAAGTAGAGAATTTATTATTAATTTAGTAGAATTTAGTTTTCAGTCAGGAAAGTTTTTATTTCTAATACAAGATGTTGGAAAAGAGTATAATCATAAGCTTCACAAAGTAATACCAGGTAAACCAGTAATAAATTTTTGTTGTTGTTCTGCAGCTGGGTGTAACAATATTTGTCAATCTTACAAGTGAGAGACTTCAGAAAGTAAACTCAGTTGTGCTTAGTGAGGTAAAGTTTGCGGGTTAGCCGATCCTCAGAGTGTGTCTGCTGTGGGTAAAAGGAAGGACTCTGACAGCAGGAAGTAAGGCTTTTACTCTTCTTTATGGAAAGAAAGAGGAAGACTTAACCACTAGTGCAGTTGCACTTAATTGTAAGAATTTACTCTGAACATAGTAAATTCTAACCTTGGTTTCAGACAGCTGTTCTAAGAAAATTCTTAAAGCTTAGTTGCACATATGAGGGTTATTTTGTAAGTGTTGACTTGTTAACAGTGTCATAATAGTAATTGATGCAGAGGTTTTAGGTAATTTAGGTAGAAGCATACTAGTAAAGTCTCAGAAGGTTATAGTCCTATAATAATTCCATGTTTATTGGCTCTGTCAATTAATCAACCCAGTCATCCTGAAGTGCATTTTAGTTTATTTATTTAGTTCTTTCACAGTGGGAAAATGTGAGAATTTTTATTCATAAAGGTAACAGGCAGGTTTGATGTAGCAGGTTATTGTTGTGGTGTTTTTCCTCTCTGAGCAATTGTTAATAATGCTCTTGTGTGAATTTGAAAAGTCTCTTCCAGTAGCCATCGTTTAGTTTTATTAGTAAAGACATTTGTGGTGGGAGAACATGGAGTGTAG